GGATTGAACTCAGCGCCTTGCACACATGCTCGCAAGCGCTCCACTACAGGGCTATGTCCCCAGCCCCCTCTAATGCTTTTTATTTTATTTTATTTTATTTTATTAGCATATATTCTGTCCCCACCTCCCTTCAACATTAAAACTGGACATTTTTACTGTCACAGATATAAATGAGTATCCTTAAAAGGGCCAGTTAAACAATGGGGTGAGCACCTACCCCATCTCAAGGGAGGTCGTGAATGGCAATTTACCCTGTGACAACCCAGGTTCCTTTCTACATAGATGCATTCCATGAGCGGGGGCTTGTATCACTTGACGTTTATGGCAACAGAAGAGACAGTGTGTCAGATGTCCGCATGGTGTGCAAGGTGTCGGGATATGGGGAGTGTCTGGAGCTTCTGATGCTATCTGGGCTGGTATGCTGTCACCACGCATCCTGAGGATGCCAAGAGCCAGTTCATAATTGTTGATTTGCATTTCCTTTCTTTACGGCACCCCTTTGGCTTATCATGAGATGTAGGTTGCTATAGTTATGAGAAGTCTGAGCTGGGAAGGACTGTGGAAGATGCTATGTGTAGAGGAAACGTGTGACCCGCTACTCCCTTGTCCAGTTGAGCCTTTGAGATGGCTGGAGGCGATCACCAGCTGCCGCAGTGCTGGTGGGTGGTACAGGATCAGTCGTGCATCTTTACCATTCCGCAAGCTGGGGAGGTTTCCCTCAGTAGCCTTGGGGATCCCCAAGAGGCCATGGGAACAGAACCCCCATTAGCAGGAAAGGTATCACTGCATCTCTGAAGCAGGCTGGGGAACATGTGGCCTTTTGAGGGGCCTTTTACTTAGCTACACTTAGCTTTATGCAGCAGGAGAGAGCCTGCTAAGTGGAGTGTGAGTGGCATGTCTGCAGCTGAAGTCTCAGAGGAGCAGAGTGCCGTGGTTATAAGCCCAGGCTCTAGAATTAGATAGCCTGCTTCACACCCAAGTTCACCACCAGCTTTCCGAGACCTTGTGTGGTCACTCAGCACCCCTGTGCATCAGGATCCTTACCTGTGACAAGGTGATACTCACACCTGCCTAGAGCCTGTAGGGTGGTAAATCTTGAAAGGCAGTGGGAGCAGTGCCTGGCTGCATCGCAGGCGTCACCAGGAGAGAAGAGAGTAACAGGCTCACATTCTGTCCAGCTCTGTAGCACTGCGCCATGTTTTCTTTTTTTTTTTAATTTTTATTTATTTTTTTAGTCATACATGACAGTAGAATGCATTTTGATATATAATACATACATCTGCCCATGTTTTCAAGGGTCTCACATTGAATACTTTTCTAAAAGGAGGAAAGTCAGTACTATAAATTTGAGTGTTCATATATTGAGTGGAATAAAATGACCGGTATTATGCAGTTTGTTGCATCTTCTTTCGTAACATAAGAATGTTAAAAAGAAATTTAAAGGGGTAAGAGCTGGTTTTTCTGTAGCACTTGCTAGCCTGTATCTGAGGTGCTGTTTCTTGGGCTTTTCAAGTATTAACTACTTGACTCTCCCTGATTGCTGTTATAGCTCCCAGTTTACAGTGAGGATCGAGGTGCAAGAGGTTAATTGGCTACTCAAATGCACACACCTAGTGCATGATGATGCTTAGATTACTTATTTTGTGGATTCCCTATCCAGAGGGTTCCCAGGCAAAGGCTGTACAAACAACTACCTGCTGGGGCTGCAGGTAGGGCTTGTTGCCAGGGGAGCCTGAGGCATTTGCCTCCGGCCTTGGTTGTAGATGATAAAACTTGACTTGCTAACTCAAGCAGGAAAAGCACCTGTCAGTCTGCTCTGCTTAGCTTGCAAGATCCAGAGGAGGCTGAAGAACAGACCTGAGCAGACAACAAGAGGCCACAGTGCATTCAGAAGGCCTCTACCTGCCTGTTGCCTCTGAGACCCCCCAGTGGGAGGGGCCTCTAGGATTAGGAACTGTGGTCCCTCCCTGCACCTCTAGCTCCAGATTCATGCCCAGCCCCTGATTGGCTCTGCCTAGGTCATGTGATAGCTTCCCATTGCATCCCTTCTCTCTGGGTTGTCCTGACTTCTCCCCCCCCCCAAATCAGAAGAGTTTTGAAGTGACAGGCAGTCAAAATGACAAACGTCCTCTACCCTAGGGCTTCACCCAGATGCTGTGCATGGTCCCCCTAGCCTCAGGACTCTGACCCCTCTCTGCCAGGGCCAGGGCTGTCTTCTGCTGTTTTCCTGCAGCACCTGGAATGGAGCGTGACACCAATTAGGCTTCCAGTAACTGTTCTGCGCCAACTGTAATGAGTGTGTTAGCCTTTGGCACAAAGGAAACGAAGGATGCACACTTATTTATAGATCTAGCTTTTGATTCAGAACAGTCTGTTTCTTGACTGAGCTCCTTTTGTTTATCAGGAAAACAGTTGATGTTTATCATTCCTCTTAGGAAAGGAAGAAGAAAAGGCATTTCAACATTTAAATGTTTCTGTGTATATATTTAAGTACTTAGTGCTTATATTGCAGTGAATTAGCAGAGTAGGGCTGTTAGAACAAGCTTCAGTTTTAATTTCCATCTATGCTTCGCTCTCCATATCCTGGCTCCTCTGCCTAATTCAGCCACTGCGATTATCATCCTCGCTTCCTCTTCCTCCATCACCTCTCATCCCCCAGCCCCACTCAGTTTCTAAGACTTTTCATTGTTCACAGCGCCCCCTCACTCCTGCCTTGCCCGCCCATCCAGCCATGCCACCCTCCATCCTGCCCACTTGCTCTCCAGCAGGCTGCTCTGGTTTCCCCACAGTGCTTCTTAAAGGCACAACAGCTGCTGGTTGCAATTGGAAAGGCTCAGGGGTCAGGTTTAGATGTGGCTCTGTCACTCATCTGTGCTGGTGCAGGATGAGTCCTGATGGAACCAGCAGAGCCAAGGGTACAGTGGCTTGGCCAAATTGCCCCTACCCACAATAGCCTGGAGGGAGGCAGTAGTCCATGATCTTTGCCTCCTTCTCCACCAGGGGCCAGGCACTTCCTTTTTCTACTCTTCTAGCAGATGGCTTGTCCTGCTGGCCACCTCCTGGCTGCCCTACCTCCAGCTTTGAAGGGGCAGGGCTGGGGCATAGTGTGTGCTACCTGAGGACACCCTCCTCTTAATGGGCTTCCGGGCCACCCCAGGCAGCAGCTCCTGCTGACCTCATGCTATCTGAGTGGTGTTTGTGGCTGCCCTCAAGTTGTTGACCAAGCACGTTGCCAGGGTCCCTCTTGCTCGGGACCACCCATCTCGTACCATCACTCATCCCATGGTAGGTGCCTCCAGCTGCTCGTGACTTGCTTTTTAATACAGTACGCTTTAGTTAGGGAAGGTTTTCATGGTAACCAAGGTGCATGGTGTTCACATGATCTTCTCTGCAAGGAACATTTAGGATCCTGGAATTCTTTTTTCTCCTCTCCGACCACTTCACTTTGCCTTTATCATGACCTCCAGCTTTTCACTTACTCTTGATTCTTGTCTTTTGGCCCCTGGCCACTAACCCTCTTTGCATTCATTAATCTGAGAGTATCACCCTCATTCTCTTTTCCTGGGCCAGCTCCAGAGCATCATAGAGAAAAATGGCAGCAGGGACCCGTGGGTGCCATGACATGGCCAAACCACAGTTTAAGGCAGTCCTCATGTGAGCAGTGTGAGGTTTTCCTTGTTGCTCAAAACGTTTTTTCTTTCCTTCCTCTTTCTAAATTCTTAGCCCCACTTCCTTTTCCTCCCAGCAGCTACCTCATCCCCCTTGACAGAGCAGTGGTAGGTTGTCAGGGCCACCTTAGTTCTCTCGCCCTCCTCCGAGAGCCTGGCCTCCTCTCAGCAGGCCTGTTGGACAGAGACCTGGTGTCTTTCGCCTTCCGGGGCCTCTCACTCCTGGGTGTCTTCTCCTTGCCTGTTCCTTCCTCCACGTTGGGGACTTAATCCAGCTGCCTCCATGAAGAACAAGGACATAGAGGAGTGGCCCTTCTTCACCCCCGGGCCTGTGCCCTGTCTTCCACTCGCAATCTGGAGTCTTCCTCCATCTTGCCTTCAGCTGCCCCTTGGAGCTGGGCCCACTGGTAGGTCCAGCAGCTGCTTGGCCCCCACTGCGTCCACCCCATTGCTCCCCTCCCTGAGGCCATTCGGTGTCCTAACACACCCTTTCCTCACCCCAGGAGCCCCACTTCAGTTTCCTTCCCTGGCTCCTCTCTCCTCCTCCTTCAGGAGAGATGCTTCCCGCCCTGCCACTGTGGCCTGTCCTTGCTGATTCTGAAGCCCTTGGCCGTTTCATGCCCCTTCTTCCTGGCCAGCTTCATGGTGGTCCCTCCTCCCCTCAGCCCCCCACATCTTCCTGCAGCTCTGGTGTGATTGCGTCACTCTCTGCAAGGACCTGACTCCTCACTTGGCTCTTTGTGGGCTGTGGCAGAGGGTGAAGGCAGTCACTCTATCATGCAGTTATGGCGGCAAGAGGGCAAAAGATTTAGGGGCATGGGGGGCAGTGGGGGGCAGCTTTGGGAAGAGCTATCATCTCAGGCTCCGCAGCCGCCCTAGCCTGACCCCATTCCTGCCACATGCGGGGCTGGGTGTGCACTGGGCATGCCATGGCCAAGTGGAAGCTCAGCCTCTTCCTGGAGTGCCTCCCCCACCTGGTCTCCCTCCTCTCCTCGTTGTCACTGTCCACTCAGCGGCCTGGCGGCCTGGCTACTGTGCCTGAGGCCTGTGAGCGCTTCACAGGACCGCGGCTCCCCCGGGACACGTGTGAGTTTGGGCCTTGTGTGGGGGTTGTTCGTGTGCCTGCCTCTTCCCTGTCCTCCATCAGAGCTACTTGAGATCAGGGATTATCAGGGATTGTGCTCCATCAACCACAGGACGCCCGCCTTTGGCTCTGTGCGCCAGGCCGCGGGCTCCTCGGGAGGCCTTTGCTGAAGGGAAGCTCAGCGTGTGCAGGCTCCCGTGGTCCAGTGCCGATTCTCAGATGTCTGTCTGTTTATCTTTCTAAACCAGTGCTTAGAAAGAGCCATGAAGTTTGCCTTCGAGGAATTCCACCTCTGGTACCAGTTTGCTCTGTCCCTGATGGCTGCTGGAAAGGTGAGTTGCCCTGTGTGACCAGCCCCGTGTCAATACTGCCACTGACGCCGTGGGCTGAGGAGCTCCATTTCAGTTTGTCCTGTGGTCCTTTCATAAGGGCAATCAACTCGAATAATTTGGAGGCCAAGATGGAGGGATATAGCACTGAAAAGAAAAATTCTGAAGTGTTTGCCTTTTTCTAGCTCTTGTCACTTATGTGAAAGGGACATGGCTTAAACTAAGGCTCGTTCTGACCCTTGCTCTGCTTTGAGAGTGTAAACGTACTTCTGGAGGGGGTCTTGGTTAACTTTAGTAATGTGTGTGTGCCATCAGGCTGTGTGATTCTGCACTGGGTGGCAGCCTAGGCTGATCCACAGCACAGGGCCCCAGGGCAGTCCCCTAGTGCCTCAGTTTGCTCTTCAGTAAAATGGAGCAATAATAGTATCTGCTTTGTAGAATAATTATCAGGCAAATTAGCTCAAGTGCAGAAGAGCTTATGGTGGTAGCCCCACTATGTGCACGCTTAATAAAGGAGGTAGCCGTTGCTTTCCTCGTTAATTTGTGCAGTTTAGTGAATTTGACACTTAATGAATTGTTAAGTTTGAGGTATAAAATTCTCTGGGCCAAGTGGACTCAGCAATTTAATATGGTATGGTTTAAATTGGATGGTTAATATTTACCATAACATAGATTTCCACTGTCTACTACTTTCCTGTTTTTACAGTGGCGATAGTAGGGTGAGGCTCGGGAGCATTCCCCACTTGTCTTTAGCCATGGTTTACTCCCAGCCACGCAGCAGGCCCAGCTCTGGTTATCTCTGTACCTGGGACCCACTGGGTTAGAAAACTTCAATAAGAGGGAGCCCAACCAAAATTCTCTGAAGGCATTATTAGTATTTGGTCCCATCCAAAATTTTGAGTTTCACAGAAGTCATCTCCCCTCATAAGTCTGCTCGGGCCGTGAAGGTGCTGAAAGAGTGTATCCGCCTGAAGCCCGACGACGCCACCATCCCGCTGCTCGCCGCCAAGCTGTGCATGGGCTCCCTGCACTGGGTGAGTAGGGCCGCCCACTCCACGGCAGGAGACTCAGGACAGACACCACCTTTTCCATGCCAAGGCACAGGGAGAAACTGATAGCAATTCACAGGGACACCAGGATGAGGCCCTTTAGTGCCCCAGGCCTGGGCCCCTGACCTCTGTGGGCCCTGCCCACACACCCCAAGGACAGAGAGGAATAGGATATTCGGGGATACTTCACATTTTCTTTTTTGTGGAAATATGATTCAGAAGTAGCAGGGATGCGGTAGTTTGGAATCCGTGCCCAGGTACATCTTAACTGTACACAAGCACCCCAGGACTTGTGAGGAGTATGCCCCTGAATTATTCACCCTTAGCTCAGCCTCGGGATCTCTGAGAAGCAGCGTCACCCTCTGCCTCATTCCTCTTCCTTCACGTTTGCTTTCTTCAAATATTTTGTTGAGATTTGCATTTGGCAATAGTCTGATTAGTGTTATAGTTTTAGTATCTCAAAAATGTATCGCTACAGTAGAAAATAGAAAACAGACTAATTGCTGAGATGTGGTATAGATAACTGTTACATAAATGTAGTTTCATTTTTTTCTAACTTCATATCAAGGTCAGTGGTAAGCAGGTGCTGGAGAGTCAGGCTGCCGGCTAACTTTGACTCTGCTCCTCCACCATGGTCCTTGCTGCCTGGCTCTTCCCGGGTGTTCCCCAGCAGGAGGGAGAGAGGCCTTATGAAGACAGTGACCACTCGTTTTCATTTTGCTTGAGAAAATGGAGAAAAAAAGAAAGCATGCTCTCACCTGAAGCAGCTGTGGCATGGCACGGGGTGGTCATGTAGATTCTGGCAGTTCAGAGGCTGCAGGTGGAGGAGCAGTGTGGGCAGGGGGTGAGCAGAGGAGTGGACCAACCCTGGGGCGTGGAGCATGCCAGCCTCCAACAGTGATTCTGCTGCCCTCTGGATTCTAGCTGAAGCTCTAATTATTACTGTAACATATACATCTCTAAACACCTCAGATAAACCCCTTTTTAAAAAATAGGAGTTACAAATCTCATCTGTATATTTTTTTCTTACATTTTTGTTAAATTTTTTAAACACCACAGTAGCTTGACCACAGCAGTCAAGAGTATAATGAACTCCATGAACCATCACCAGCTTCAATAATAATCAACATTTGCCACACTTTCAAAGGAACAGATCTTATTATTCTTGCCTCTAATGAATTGTGCCAGAGGTCTTTGCATGTGGTTTTCAGGTGCACATTTCTCCTTGGAATCTGCTGGAGAGACATCCATGTGTTGTGTTCTGTCAAAAAAAAGATAAGAGTTTTGAAAATTTTAATAGTTTGTGGCAAAAAATATCCGAGCCTAAGTGGGTTCTTTATATCATAGGAAAAAAAAAGGTAAAGACCCAAACACAAAACATTCCAAGAACTTTATTCTTTATTCTTTACAAATATGTTTAATTGAACTTCTGAACACCTAGCACGACCTCATTACAAGACCATCCATAAAAAATAAAGATGAAAAAGATATAACCCTGCCAAATATGAAAGTGACTTTGGAAAAGAAGGAAAATAAGCAAAAAAGGAAAATGAAGGGAAAAAAGGGGGCTGGATAGGAGAGTTAAGGACTCTTAGAGGCTCTAAGGAGGAAGCAGAATCACCAGAGTGGAACTGGAAGATTCAGGAGCTATTTTCAAAATGACTCATCAGAATTCCATTTTGGGCAGCAAGTGCTTATGGGAACTTATGTTAGAAATTCTGCAGGTGGTTGTTGTTGTTGTTTTTCACTTGTCTCATTTTTCAGTTAGAAGAGGCTGAGAAGTTTGCCAAAACAGTCGTTGATGTAGGAGAGAAAACGTCAGAGTTCAAGGCCAAAGGCTACTTAGCTCTGGGGCTCACGTACAGTCTGCAGGCCACTGACGGTGAGAAGTTCCTCATGTGGAGCCTGGGTCTGCGCTGCAGGGCCCCACGGTCCCCTTCTGTCTGGGGAGGGTGCAGAAGTGGGGTCATTCTGACATAGCTGTGGGGACCCTAGTGCTCTGTCCTCTGCTGGTGTCACCACAGGCTCCTTGCTGATGGATGCAGAGCATCCGCTGTGAGGTGGAGAGATGATTCCTGTACCTGGCCTTATACTTGCTTCAGCCCCAGCCCATGACCTGGGCCATTCCCTAGTGAAAGGATGTTGGCTCTTAGGTGCAGGGTGGTAGAAGAGTTCAGGGGCAGACACTGCCAGGAAGCATCCCTTGACTGAGCAGGAGCTCTCCACTCACACATTTTAATTCATGGCTACACACACATGCAGTGCAACACTCACCAAATAACAATGGCTCTTTGAGGCAGTGATTTTATACGGTTTAGATATGCTTAAAGTTTTGGTGGATGGACTTCTGGCTATTTTTTTCATTTTATTTTATTTATTTATTTTTGGTACTGGGGATTGAATCCAGGGGAACTTAATCATTGAGTCACATCCCTAGCCCTTTTTATTTTTTATTTAGAGACAGGGTCTCACTAAGTTATTTAGGGCCTTACTCAGTTGCTGCGGCTGGTTTTGAACTCATGATCTTTCTGCCTCAGCCTCCCGAGCTGCTGGGATTATAAGCATGTGCTACTGCACCTGGCCTAATTGTGTTTTATATATTAATGAAGTTTTTAATGATATGTTTATGGAAAGTATAAGTCAATAGTTGTTTTTCTGATCTCATCCTTTTAACATGTTATTAAATATAATGTGACTACAAAGACATCCCCTCACATAGAACTTAATGAATTAGTGTAAGGCATATGCCCTTGTAACCACCAGCCTGCTCAGCTGTTAAGGAGATAGAATCTTGCTGGCCACCTGGGGAGCCCCCTAGATCACCCTACCAGTCAGAAACCCCATTCACCATTAGGAGAAAATACTATCCTAAGTTTTTGGTATATACTTTCATATATTTTATATATATGAAATTTACAAATTATCCCCAATTCTTTCCTCTGCCCTAAAATATTGACCCTGGGGAAGTTTCACATATCAGTTACTTTTCAATAATGGATCTGGGGCTAATTTTCCATGTACACATGATCCATTGACCATACTCAGCACATTACCTCATAGATAGTAGACTTGCAGGGAGGAGTAAGTTTCAAGCCACAGCTTTACCATGTGAATTCTCAGTGGAGATTCTACCCTAATTAGCCCTGAAGCTTTGGGAGTCACTGGACCCTGCCTTTATGTTCAGTGGGTCGATCCAAGGTTCTCTCCAGCTCCGTTGCTGTTGTTCTAAGTCTGTGAGGGCCACAGCCACACCCAGCCCTCTGTCAAGTCAGACTGGGAGCTGCCCTCACCTTAGCTACAGTTCCCCCCACAGAGGTGGTACTTCTCTCCTTGGCAGGCAGGCTTTGGGGAGCCATTTCTCATGCACTCTACATAGCAGAAGTGTCAGCTTACAGCTGGGTGGCCTCCCACACCCTGGAGCTGATATGCCAGCATGTTGGGTTGGAGCTCCGTCCCCTTTTCCCACATCGAGGTTTCACGCTGGCCTTTCATGGCATCATGCTCGTGCTCGTGGTCCTGGATACCAGCTTCTCAGTGCCAGAAGATCTCTGAGGGCCCTCTGATCCACTGGGCTTGAATCCCATCCACACCATTCCAGTAGAACCAGCGTTTATTGCCTGGCTGCATGCCCACCCTTGGGATGAGCAGTGTGCTCCTTCCAGAGTTCCCTGCTGGTCTTTAGAAAATGTCCTCCATATACAATTGCTGTCAAGAATGACCATCCAGTACACACCATCCCTTGGCATTGTCTACAGTTTCGTCCTCTGAGCACGAGTGCCTCGGGAGTGGGACTGGCCTTCGTGTCCCAGTAGGGCCCGCCATATTAGGCACTCAGGAATAGTTGCTTTGAATCCAGGTGAATGTGTCATTCTGGTGATGGGTTTGGTATTGTCAAAAACTCCCTGATCTCCATGCCACTGACTAATTGAACCCTTTTCTTAGCTTCTTTGCGAGGGATGCAGGAGGTCCTACAGAGAAAGGCGCTTCTTGCATTTCAGAGGTGAGTAGGAGTTCATCTTTTTGCTCAGTTTACATAATGACTCCAAAGTATGATAAGTATAAAAAGAAAGGTATTTATAAAGATTATGTAAACAGTGCTTTACCCCCAGGAGCCTTCCGTCTGGAGCAGAGAACGTGCAGCATCAAAACTCGCCGCATGGCTTGCTGTCATGTCCCTCTGCATTGTGGCCATTTATCCTGATGAAGGGAGCTCAGCTTGAAAAAGAGACACTTGGTCTAGGGAGATGGCTCCTTTATTAGAGACTTTTGTCATATCTAGATAGGGGATCATTCTTTCCTGGATTTTTTTTTTTTTACATATTAAGATATGAGGTTTTTATATTAAGAAATGAAAAGGCTAGGTTTTAGAGAGTCCCTGGAATACTGTGTTGGGAGTCAGCCCAGCCAGCCCCGGGCCCCACCCCCATTTGTCCCCTCACTGTGCGGGTGTGGACTCAGTGAGTGTCACGGTGCTCTTTTACATCCCTTACACACCCACAGGGCAGACAGGACAGCAGTAATGCCCCTGCAGCCAGCAGCTGAGGCATGGGCTTTGGAGGAGTCGTCAGTCCCAACGATGGAGGTCGAGTAGACCAAGGTCTCCTAGCTCCAGCCCAGGTTTTCTAGCACCTACTGTACTACACTGCCCCGATCTTACTCTCATTAGATATAATAAATCACTAGAATGAAATTACTGCTTGAAAATTGTGGCCTCATGACATAAAATTTAGAAGCGGAATAGATTTCTGTCACCTTAGATATATATCTGAGTTTCATTTAATTCCTTGGAATTGTATTAGAAGCTTAGTTATTTATTTGAAAATGTCACAAGCCCCTCTCGTACCAGCCACCATGTTGGGTCTCCCCTGAGGGAGGCCTTACCTCCAGCTGTCATGGTGTCCACATGCTGTTTTTCACCAAGTCCTTGTTACTCGGCTTTTCGGTTAGTCTGAAGCACTTCCATCTCACTCCTTCCTGTTTCCTGGCAGGACTGTCGCTAGCTTCCTCGTTTGCCAGTCCCAAGCTGGTTCATGACAAAAAGTACCAGTTGACATCTGCAGACACACCTCCTGTCTCTGCTCATGTTTTGTTGGTGTTCTTCAGCACGGAGCGTGGAAAGCATTTCCATTTCAAATGATTTCAGGTTTTAAATTCTCCAGCCCCAGTTTGTAGAGCCCACACCTGGCTGCCTCGGAGAGGGGCCGCTGCGTCTGCTTCACTCTTCTTAAATCAGCACATCTTACTGCTTCTCCAAAAACAGCCTCAGTGGTGGTCTGCCTGGAGCTGCCAGGGCGACTCTGAGTTATGTAACAGCTGCTCCATTGGCCTAAATTCTTTTATGTTCCTTCAAAGGGATTTTAAAATATTAGTTCATATGGGAATAAAGAGTAATAAAATCCCAGTAACATAACTGACTATATTGCAGAAGCCTAACCTAAATTAGGATTTGTGTGAAATATAAAATGTTTTCCAGAGGAGTAAGTTTGAGGGGAGTTCTTGTACACACATTAAATGAATTGTAAACTTTTTTTAAAAAATAGTTTTTAAATTGTTGAGAACTTTATTTTATTCATATATCTATTCACAGTGCTGAGAATCAAATCCATACGTGCTAGACATAGAGCTCTACCACTAAGCCACAATCTCAGCATTTTTTTAGTTGTTGATGGACCTTTATTTTATTAATTTATTTATATGCAGTTGAGAGTTGAATCTAGTGCCTCACACACGTGAGGCAAGTGCTCTACCACTGAGCCACAACCCCAGCCCCATATTACTTCTTAATGTAAATAGATAATTTAAACCCATGTGTATGATACTTTTTCTGCCATATATTTACATATTCTCCCTCACAGTTCTGTTAATATTATTATTTTGTGTTTTTCATTTAAAAAGAAAATGGGATTCATAAAGGGGCAGGGTTACAGATTCAGCAGGTGAAAAAATAAGTCTTAATTATGACTAGAGCTACAATTTAGAAAGTTTTGCTATCCAGGGGATTCAAGGACTTGGTGATTCTTGAAGACATTCAAGTGGTGTGGCATCAAGTGTCCTGTTTGTATACTCGTGAGCTTGACCCAAGCAGCTCAACCTGTTCATTTGCCCCATACACAAGCACAGTGAAGAAAACAGAATTGTTTGCAGGGTGATAAGTTGCCACTTCATGGCCTCTCATGTCCTGCTGAGAAAAGCAGTCCTGAACACAGCTGAGAGCATGCTGGGGTGCCTTGAACCACACATGCAGAAAGCAAGAGCTGCTCCTGAGAAAGGGCATGTTGTCCTTTGTGTTTCTCAGTGTGGCGTGAGGTACACACCCTCACTTTGTTCCCCTCTTCCTCCTAGCGTGAGTTCAGCGTGGTCTGCTGTGTGTGTGTGTGTGTGTGTGTGTGTGTGTGTGTGTGTGTGTGTAGGGTGACCAGCCATCCTGATTTGTTGGAAACTAAGCCAAAACATCTCAGAATGTGGGATTTTCAGTGCTCAAGCCTTGGAGTCCTGGGTAAACCTGTGTATGTAACTAGTGGAAGATACCTCAGCAATAGATATGACCAGGTGTGCCCATTTTTGTTAACTTAGTACACTAATCCCATGTCCCTGGAATGAGGACTGAAGGGGACTTGAGAGGCAGCAGGGCGATTGTATACAGATGGACCTCGGGACCAGGGTCGTCCTTTCCACACCTGGTTTACTTCTTTAGCTGGGTATTCTTGGGCAAGATACTTAATAGTAGATACTTCATAAATTGAAGTTGTTATTATTTCAAAGTACGTGTCTTATGGATCAGGGTCAAAATTGATTTGCCTTCTCTGTATTTTTGGCTCAGTTCCGAGGATGTTGGAGCTGGAATCTAGGAGAGCACTGGGTGGACCTGGGGCCAGCTAGAATCTAGCTGGGCGGTCTGGGCAGCCCGACAGCAGCCCAGCAGGTCTCTCTCTGGTGGAGCAGGCTTGATAGCTCCTCAAGGAAAGGCACTTGAATGATTCATTTGCAGGCTCCCCAGAGGGTGGCGTAGGCCTGGCACCACAGTTGGCATGTCCAGTGGGAATGGATGTGTAGGCAGTTGGATGGACAGATGGGTGGATGAATGGCAGTCTCTTCCTCGTGGAAGAGAAACTGATTGAATGAATGTGGAGGTGCTTCATGGGGATGTTTGTAGTTCTCTGGATTTCTCTTGGCAACCTGGTGTGGGAAGGGGCTGGTAGGGTGTTTTGGATCACATGCAGAGGGCAGCAGGCTGGCACCTGCGTTTTGGTGGCCTCTGTTGGGAGGGCTTTGCCCAGGAAGTTCAGCTGCTGAAGCTGTTCTGAATTGAAGTAAGGTTTTAGAGTCAGCCTGTGCACTTCTTCTTGCTTTGTTTGGCATTCTCCTGTTTCCTTTCCTCTTTAGTAGGCTAAAATAGTCAGTTTAATTCATTATCAAAATTTCCAAAATAAGGTATTTAGGATGTGTGTGCTGCCTCTTTAGCAATCTGGCAGTTAGGTGTTCATTATCAGCGAGGTCAGGGATTCTCCAGGTGTTGTGTTAATGCACCTCAGAAGTGCTAAGGCCGCCAGCACTCCTGCTTCTTCCTTTCCTGGTGGGGCCTTTGACCAGAGCTATCTTATCCAGACTCACTCACCAGTCCACTGATGGCCTTTCACTCAGTCTTGTGTAGGGGCGACAGTGATTCAGCTTCATTTGAGAAGATAGTGAGCTGTACCAGGAAAATTATAGCTCTCAGAGATTCTTTTTGAGGGCTGTTAGAAACCTGGCTTTATTATTTTGAAAGATGAGATAAAATAAATAACTCTAAATAATGCAGTCTCTTCCTAATCGATTTTGTAATCCTTTTCCCTGAATAATTGGGAGAGGCAGAAGCCATGACATTCCAGTCTCATAAACCATCAAAGAAAAAAAAATCTTTTGCACAGAAATACATGGAAAACCAATACTGGTGAAATAATAAAACCAGAGCACAGGAGCAGCCTCTGGTGTAAGTCATCCCAAACATAACAGGCAGGTTCTTGGCCTGGGCCTCCTCAGCTCAGGTGAGGCATCGGGAGGCCACATCCAGGGACCCGGCTGCTAGGGACAGCCAAAATGGAAGTTTGCCTCACTTTTAAGATGAATAAAAGGACAGACACCGGTCTTGCACGAGCCTCTGCATTTGCCCAAACAGTGCCCAAAACTAGTGGACTAGCGTGTTTTCTGACCAGGCTCATGTAGGAGTCATTTTACTCCACCCCTCCCCACCTCCACAGTTGCAGTTGATTTAAAAGTCTTGTTTTTGTAGAACACCATCCTTGGCTGGTTTACCACAGTTGAATCCTTAACGACTTGGTCTTTTTGTTTTATCTTGATTTTGCTTTCTGCTGGTAGAAGATTCTCCTTTAATCACAGAGTGTAGGCAGAACAGCGTGATGGTTTGTTTGCTATCTGGGTCCCACCTTTTGTAATTAGTCTGTTCCAAGTTCTCTTCTAAGGAAAGTAAAAGTTTGTTTTTCTCTTCTCGCCAGACTGTTGAGTGTTGTACATGGTCCCATTTTGAGTTGTTCTTGGTGAAATACATTTGACTTCCATGTAAAAGCAAAAGACTTTTGTGGTCAGTCAGGCGGCTAGCACAGCCTCCTCACATCCAGCATCAAAGGCCAGTTAGTGAAGCCGGGCCCGCGCCCACCCTGCAGTCTTCCATAGCAGTTACGTGAAGACAGTTAGTAAACTGCATGAAATTAGTAGGAGCTGCAAAAGACTGAATGGGTGTCTTTGCTCCATCTGGTTCATGAAAAACGAAAGCCTCATTTTGTAAGCAAAGCTGGGTCTTTGATTTTCATATGATTTCTCTGAAATTCAGAAATTTGGATGAAGGGCGTTAAGGCCAAGCCAAACTTAACCAAAGCAACCATCGCCTTCCCAAGTGCACACGTGGCTTTTCTGTGATGCAGCCTCTGGGCCTCTCCTGCCCAGCTTGAAGGAAGCGTCTATAGGGGAGGCCAGACCTAGGGCCTGTGGGTTCTCCACTCATGGTCCCTCTGCAAGGCCTGGAGCAAGACAAGAGGGAGAAACGTGCTCCTTGTCATTCCTCTACACCACGGTCAGAGGGAAACGCTTTGCGTTGGTTAAGGGACAGGGAGGAGAGCGTCATCACAGAAACTACCTCCGTGGCAGTGGCATGATGATGAGGTGTAGAGGAACTTGCTTCTTTGATCGGAAGTAAAGTGGCCTCTCCCAGTGTACTAATGGCCATGAATGCTCTTTCAGGGCCCACAGCCTGTCACCTACTGATCACCAAGCAGCTTTCTACCTGGCTCTGCAGCTTGCCATCTCCAGACAGGTCAGTCTCCATGATGTTCCCTAACCCTGACGATGCTTCTAGTCTGCACAGTTCCCTCGGCTCCACAGCTTAAGGTGGCAGGTGACCTTCCCTCATTCTCTTGAGGCTGACTTGGAGCCAGGGGCTCCTCCCAGAGGACACTGACTCCTCCCAGAGGAGATTATGGAGTTTTGGTCAGTGTGAGCATGAGCCGTGAAAACACAGGTGTTCCAGGGTCTACTTTTGGAGATTGAATTTACAAATCTGTTGAGTTTTACAAATCTGGCAGGTTCTTGGCCTGGGCCTCAGTTGACAACATGGGGTGCAGAACATGGCATTTACGCTGGTCCCTGAAATCATCAAAGAGCCTTTGTCCCTTGCTAGGGTAGCAGAGCCCAGTGCTGGGCTGCATGGCAGGGATTCAGTCACTGGGTGGGGCCTGGTTGTCATGAGGGCATCCTTCATTGACAGGAAGATGCCAACAGATACAAAGATACCAGGTCCATTAGAATGCATGGAAGACATGCGCAGTTGCACCCCGTGGCTACTTGCAGCAGTGTTTTCCATGCTAGAGGGCAAGCCTTGCTGGCCTTCACCCTTCCCAAGGCTGTGAGTGCTACCCTGGTGTCCCCTCCCAGCTGTTCTGGAAACTAGCCACATGCCTGCCTACCCACCAGGTGCAAGACACTGGTGGTGACCCCAGCACATTCCAGAGTGCTGCCTGGGAGGGTGAATCAAAGGTCAGCTCCCCAGACATGCCGTTCTCGTTCTCGGGAAGGCCGGGCTGAAGCGTGTGTCTCACTTCCCCATTGCCTGGGAGTGATGTGGAGAAGTGACTCCCATTGGCCACCCGGGGATGGAGGAAACCAAGACACCCCCTTTGTAAAGGTCCTCTCCCCTGGCAGGGTGTGGCTCACAGCTGAATTGATCAGGAGCTACTGCTGTGACAGATGTGAGCCGAGCACTGACTTGGTCTCTTCTTCACCAAGAGCCTCCCTCACCTCCTCTGTGAAGCCTCTAGCAGCCTGCCCTCCCTCCTTTTGCACGGCCGTCTTTTTCATTATTAGTCTTTCCCATTGAGCTTGAGATGCCAGGAGGGCAGGAGCCCAGGTCTGTCATCATCATTGCTTTTGGGGCTGGCTGATGGCTTGGCACTTGGCACACTGCCTGATAAGTGATCAGCACCCACTGTGATGCATCAAACAAAGGAGCCAGCCTTAAATTCCCTCAGGTCAGCCGGCCTGATTTTTGAACCCAGTTTGTCCCTATTGCTCTGGTCATCCCTTCAAATCGACACTATGAGTACAGCCTGCCTTCTGCCCCTTCCCATGGAACTATGTTGAGTGTTGTTCCAATGGTGGGTTGTCATGCAGGGAGTAGATAGCAGATGGAGGCCAAGAGTACAGCCACACATGGTATCCAAACCCCATAGCTCTCAGGGAGTGTTTCCTTGCTGACCAGGGACACTGAGGTCGTGACCCTCCTGCCTTCGAAGCCAATGCCATTTGACCAGGGGGAGAGCATGGAGAGGAATCAGAAGATCTAGAGTCATCTCATCTCACTCAACAGCTGGGTGACGTGCTCAAGTCCTTTCACCTCTGGATTTCAGTTCCTCCCTGTACATGAAGGATGGCGCCAGCTGATCTCCCTTCCATCTTGGCCGCTATGATGCTGGGTTCCAAAGCAGAAAGCATTCATCATCTCCGTCCACACAGAGTGGAGGCTCGAGGAGGAAAAGGAATAGGTTCAGAAAGCAGAAGTCATGGTTTCTAGTAAAGGGCTAGGTTCCTAGGGCTTGGGGAGAAGTGGGGGAGCTGGATGAATCTGAGTGGAGGCCCCATCCGGTGCTGGATTCCAGGTGGGAAGGAGTCCATGGGGTGGCTGCAAAAGAATACTTCTGTCCCCAGCTCTGTTTTGAAATCCAGCTTCAGATTCTCATTCCCCCTAGTTCCTGTTCGGCCTGCCCAGACTCTGGGGTATTCAGGTATCCACCATGTTTACACAGTGCCAGCCCAGTGCTTGAGTGGTTGTGAAGAATATCTTGGACAGCTGTTGCATTTAAAGGTTAAGGTTGTATCTTGTCCCACCTGAATTTGGGTACATCTGCTTTGTATGTGGCATTGCAATTTGTTTCTTGTATCCAGTTATTTTGGGTTCTAGTTTGGAAAGGTGTGGGATTTTGTTTTGTTTTTCTCATATTTCCTTGATGGCAAATGGAGATCTGGACATCTTATCATTTGGAAAGTTTTGTTAAATTTTTATGACAAATATTAAGTACTTCAATGTCATAAATACTATAAAAAATGAGAATGATTCAGCCGCAGCAGTTTAATTCCACTAAAAACCCCTGGCAGTTTGTCCGTGTTTCCATTTACAGTGGAATCATCTTGGACATAATCAAAAGTAGTTCCATTTTCTGGGGGAGAAAAAAAACAAGAAATGCTTATTTAGGGAGAAATAGAGATTTGGTATGGTGGTGGTATAGAAAAGCAGGACTCTTGCTTCCCTTCACAGCCCATCCCACTCCCTCCGTCTATTTTCCTGTTCGTGGTTTGTATCCAGGGCCTGCCAGGAAGACTTAGCTTAAAGTGCGAACATGGCACAGTGAGACACAGGTCCTGACGTTCAGGGCCAGATATTGCACGATGACCTCTTTCTTGTGTGACTGCATGTGTGTTAAAAAATTCTTTTTGGTTTTGTTTTAAACCAGATACCAGAGGCTCTAGGGTACGTCCGCCAAGCTCTTCAACTTCAAGGCGATGATGCCAACTCCCTGCACCTCCTAGCCCTCTTACTGTCAGCACAAAAGCATTACCATGACGCACTCAACATCATTGACATGGCCCTGAGTGAATACCCCGAAAATTTTATGTAAGTGATGATGGGTTTTGATTTTCCCTTCCTCAGAGGTTACTAAATGGACTCCTTCCCCCTCCTCCTTCCAGTTTGTCCAGTGAGCTCCTCATGGACATCCTGGGAGTAAATAATATAAATCTCCTTTACTCTTTTTTAAAAATTTTTTAAATTCTAATTTGTCATGTATGACAGCAGAATGCATTACAATTCATATTACACATCTAGAGAAATCTCCTTTATTTATTTATTTTTCCTAATAATGAAAAACAATCTTAGTCCGCTAGGTCGTTCTAATGTGGCGTGTGGTCGTCCCTGTTTAGGTGAACTACTTTAGCCATTCTGTCCCCACGTGTACTCTTGGAGCATACAGGATGATTTTATATGGATTGTAGATGAATATTTTAATAGTTATACATTTTTAGTTTTTCATTAAAAATATATTGTGTATCAAAGCATGATTTCATGAAAATTATTGCTCAGGGGGAGACTAAAAATGTTTAGCCCGTTTAAAGAAAAGTATTAAGAAAATACAATGCACATGGATGTGGTGAAATGTCTGTTGAACTCTAGTGACTGGAATTTGGCCAGCTTTGCTTTGTGGCTAGCTTGTCTTGTTTCACCAGGGCTGCCAGGAGCTCTGGCTGGTTAAGCTACTGCAGCAGCTTTGATTAAGATCTCTTACCTCCTTGAGCCTTAGTTTTATTCTCTAGGAACTGGAATAACTTAAAAAAGTCAATCAACATTTGTATACATTCTAAGAATTGTAACCTGTCATATGCTTGAATTGCCCATTTACTTCACATCTCTTTTCTGAATCACATTTTTAATGAGCTCATGAATCTGGAATTCATGGAATCCATACAGTGGGGTCGGCTTTGTGGAGAACATTGCCTTTGGGCTACTGGGTTACCATTTCATCCTCAGTGGTGGTAACTTGGTAGTCCGTACATAGTGGCCAGACACAGTCCACAAGCCTGCAGGCTGGAAAGTCTAATAGTCTACATGGTGGCAGAGCCAGTGACGGGGAGGAGGGAAAGAAGGCTGCCCAGGGTGGCCCTACAGGCTTTTTCACTTTCAGAAGTAAGTGCGGTGGCAAACTTTTAAGTGGGTCAGCTTTGCCTTATTTCTCTGCCTCTTCACCTCAGTGGGTTTTTTAATCAGTGTGTTTCAGCAGCTCTCCTTGGAAATTGGTTCACACATTTCCATTACAAACATTTCTTTGTCTTCAGTGAAAGGGCGTTTCTCTTCTCACCATCCAGAGAACTCTTGTTTTAATCCAGGAAACCTCTGACCAGAGGTTGCTTTTGTAGCTTCAGCTATTTGTGCAGAGTGAGTGTGTTCTGCTTCTGGTAGATTTCAGCCTTGCTCTTTTGCACAACCATACGTTTCTGGATTTTCTCCCAAGATGTTTAGCCCAGGGAACCTTAAAATGGTTAAAATACTTTTAAAAATATTTGGTCTTTTACCCATCCAGATACAGTAAAGTACAACCTGATACAATTGAACTCAGTTTCTCCCCTCAGTGTTTATAAGGTGCCATTCCCCCCTGCCCACCCAAGCACGCACATGCGCACGCCCACCCCGTCTTCACTAGATGTTAGACTCTGGCATGTGATTCCTGCTCCCACAGCCCAAGGTGTCCTCCAAGAGGAGGTTTATTAAACTAATAAGCCACACTACACAGTAAGCAGTCAACAGTGGCAGCTAGTATGGTGGTGCCTCCAAGTGACAGCAGCTGACAGCCTTTTCAAGTAGTAGAAATAAGGAACAGCAGAGGAGATATTTCAGGAATGCAAGCCTGTTATTTTAATGTTAAGCCTTAAGCTGGAGCCGCAAAGCGCATGGCTGCAGGACTGAGAGCAGCCCAAGACTTGTTTGCCTTTAGAATACTTGTACTTCTTCCTTTGGGAAGGAATTTCTTCCCATGAATACTTATTAAAAGTTGAGGCCAGGTGTAGTCAGTGGATCCCACGGTTTCTTCCCAACCTGGGTAAAACATTTCAACACCAACCTAAACAATAGTGAGTGAGCACTTGTCCCAGCCACTGTGTGATGTTATTTGTTTGTGACAAGCTTGTCCCCAGAAGAACTGTAGAATCTCTGGAGCCTGGAATTGCTTTGAGTCTTGGCGCTACCAGCCACACCTAGCAGATGGGGTATATGGTAGTTGTTTTGTCAGGTCTTGCTACAGGGAAGTGAAAAGTCCCAGTTAGGGTCACTCTGGTCCACCTGTTGAACAGTTGCCATATCAGACAGCTGGAAGCTTCACAGGAGCAGCTGATCTCACCAGTGATACCTGTCTGTATTAGTCTGTTTTCCGTTGCTATAACAAAACATCTGAGGTTATATTAGCATCTGTAGGGAAAAGAGATTTATTTAGCACACATTTGGAGGTTCAAGAGAGCATAGCTTCAGCTTGTCTCCGGTGAGGGCCCCCTTGAGTATATGACATCACAGCAGATGGCATCCTGGGGGGAGCACTGTGAGAGAGAGCGAGAGAGAGATCACACAGTGAGACAGGAACCCAGAGAATTTTTAAACACATATGCAGTCACACAAGGGGAGGGCTGGCCTTGTTCTTTTATAACAACCCATGCATGAGAACTAACTGGAGTCTCATAAGAATTCCATCACTTACTCCAGGGCCTGCTCCAGTGACTCAGTTATTACAAGATATGCCACCTCCCGGCATTGCCGTGCTGCTGACCAGGCTCCAGCATGTGAAATCCTGAGGACACTCAGACCATATTCAAACCATGCATCATCTTCTGTGGTTTAGATGAGTGTCCTCCAGTTGTCCACGTGTTATAGGCTTGGTGTCCAGGGTGGTGACTCTGGGAGGTGGTGTAGACTTTTAGGAGATAGGGTCTCATGGGAGCTCCTTAGGCCACTTGAGAGTGTGTCTCAGGAGGGATTATGGGACCCTAGCTCATCCCCTTGCACCCTGCCTTTTTTTGCTTCATGATGTGAGAAGTTTGCTCCACCCTGCTCTCCTGTGATGATGGGAGAAGCCCAAAGCAATGGGGCAGGCACGCAATCTTGGACTAAAGAACCTCCAGAACTATTAGCCAAAATAAACCTTTTCTCTTTTTTTATTTTTTAAAATTATTTTTTAGGTGTAGTTGGACACAATGCCTTTATTTTATTTATTTATTTTATGTGGTGCTGAGGATCGAACCCAGGGCCCCGCACCTGCCAGATGAGCACTCTACCATTGAGCTACAACCCCAGCCCCAAACCTTTTCTTTTTGTAAGTTAATTGCTTCAAGTATTTCATTACAATGATGAAAGCTGATGAATACATCATCCTTATTGTCACCATGAAATGGTAAAAGTTGGTGTTTAAGTACTTTGAATAAGCTTAACAGAACCAACTTGCTGTATGCTGAGAGGCATCATCTCAGCCATTTTATCACTCCAAGCAGAACTGAGACTGAACAACAGATTTCAACAATTGGGAAGAATTTCCTACATGTAGGGATTGTGAGAACCAGGAATTCTTTTCTAGAGGAATTGCAGAGGTAAATTCACTGCTCTGGAGAAGCAGCCATTTTTCTGGGTATTATAGGGTTCTCCATAGAAGGAAAGGAATGTGGAAGGATCTTCTGTAGTATTTAAGAGGCAAAAAAAAAACCTGGCTTAGGACTTCCGTTCCTCCACTTTTGAGTAAGTCACCAAATCTGTCTATCTCATTTCCTCATTTATAAAATGTGGTAATATTACATAATAACATATAATAAATATTATTTGTAAAAATAACACATCTCAGAAGGTTATTGCAAGAATTGATTTTGTTTGTTCATTGAAGGCATTTGAACACACTAATCACTCAGTAATCAGTAGGGATTCATATTATTACCACCAACAGTACTACAGTGTCTTCAAATTTGATATTTCAGAATCCTTTAAAATTGTTGTTAGTAAGGCTGGGCCCTGGATGAGGTGGTGCCTGCCTATAATCCCAGCACCTCAAGAGACTGAGGCAAGAGGATCACAAGTTCAAAGCCAGCTTCAGCAATTAGTGAGACCCCAAGCAACTCAGTAAGACCCAGTCTCAAATTTAGAAAACTAAATAAAAAGAGTTGGGGATGTAGCTCAGTGGTAAGTGCCCCTGGGTCAATTCATGGTACCAAAAAAAAGCTCTTGTTACTAAATATTGAATGGAAGCAAAAGAATACTTGTTCAACATTTAAAATAATGATAAAGTAACTATTATACCCATTTCTTTTTTAAAATTTTTTTTTTATTTTTTAGTTTTCGGTGGACACAACATCTCTATTTGTATGTGGTGCTGAGGATCGAACCCAGCGCCGCGCACATGCCAGGCGAGCGCACTACCGCTTGAGCCACATCCCCAGCCCTATTATACCCATTTATTAAGAAAAAGAACATTAATGCTGCCTATGAATTTCCCAGGTGTATTATTTGTATGTAAATATGTGCTTCCTGTGAGTATGTATTTCCTGTTATTACACGAGTGTTCTCCCTAGCCACTTCTCACACCCTACCTGGCAGGTTAATCAATGTTCTGAATTCTGTATTGAGCATTCTCTTAATAAGTCTCCATACCACTGTGTCTGTACTCTAAAATAATGAAATATTTTAGTTTTGCATGTTTTATATTTTTTTAAAATGGAGTCATACTCAGTGTATCCTTCCTTATGCTACCTGCTTTCATTGCTTAGAATTCTGATCCTGAGGTTCCTCCTTGATGCATGCAGGAATCATTCCTTTATTTGCACTTAGTAATTGTGTTTTATTGTATGAACTAGATTTACTTATCCAGTCACTGTCAGTGCTCTCTTGGGTTCTCCTGGTGCACCATTTCAAGGGCCTCCCCAAGTGTGTCCCCGGGAGTGAAGTTGTTAGGTCAGAGGATATGTGTATCTTTAACTTTACCAAAGAATTCCCAACTGCTTCTCAAAGCAGTCATGCTGTCACACTCGCACCAATACCCAAGAGCCCCTGTGGCTCTGCACACTCCTGCTGGGTGTTGCCTGGACTGTATGTTGGCA